ATAATATATTTTGATAAATATTACATCGTAAAAAAATTCAAAAGTGATTTTACATAAAAACGCATGGTGGCCACCTTAGGGCCAGGACGACATTTTTTAAAAGTTATCAAAAAATTGTGTAACACACAATTTTATCGATATTCATTTATAATATTATTGTATTATATGTAAACGAAATTACCATAAAGTTTAGAACTTTTAAACAATTAACTGTAATCACAGTATCACTCTTTAAGGATGAACGTGCACGACTTTCCCTGACAAAAATATAAACCTCAAAATGAGATGTTTCATATGGGATATATTCATACTTCAGAAAAAAACTTTTTTTGTTACTGTCACACACACTAGAAAAATGTTATATTCGTATATAAACTAATACTATGTTATAACTGTCGTGTTGAAATCTGACAACTTCACAATCGTCAATAGCACGAATGTTATTGTTTTATGATTAGTTGGTTAGAATTAAAATATTCTTTATTAATGCAGAAAAATGTCAGTGCATGTAATTTACTGTTGAGAAGAAAATTTTTTAAAAAACCTTTTTCTATTTTACTTTCAATTTTATTATATTTATAACCATGAAATGATAAAAATATCAGTTTCTTTGTTTACAAGTTTCATATCGCAAGTAAAAGTGACGTTGCCGTTCTTCTTTCTTTGTTATTTAAAAAAGGTAACAGATCATATTTTTTTTACTATTTTCTAAATTTTTTTAATATATTTCCGGCAACATGGTATAATTTTTATTTGAAACGATTTGTGATATCTCCTTGCACTTATTTTTTAAAAAACATCAATTTATTTGGATTTCTTTCAACATTTTTTTTCAATTAAAAGGATAAATTTCACATTTCTCCATAAGAATCAATGTTAAAAGTTTATAATTTAAAATTCGTATTATTTAAAAAATCCGTAGTAAACAGACTCCAAACTTTGCAAGAAATTTTTTTTACGTAAAACTTTTGATATATGTAAAAAAAGATGATTGAAAAAAGATGATGATTATTAAGATAATAAAAAATATATGTAAAAAACAATGCTTACAAAAATTTTTTTACCGAAATTTAATAATGTCTCAGTTAGAAACAAACGTGTTTAGTTATCCACGTCTACTAAACATTACCAAAAACTTCGTATTCATAAACAATGAAAGTAACCCGAAGCATTCAGTGCTGCCAAATATTTCACAAGAATTTTCTAGGGTGTCCACCTTGGGGCCCTCTACCCTATAAAAATAATTTAATTCTTACGAAGAATTTTATAAAAATTTTGAAATAATTCATTTCTTTAGACTAATTTCATACAAATTCTAATTTAAATAATTGAATTCCTGAGAAATTTTTATTATTCATGAAAATAATTGAATTACGAAGATTATTACAAAAAATGTATTTAAATAATTAAATTCTGTTTGGAAATTTTATGAAAATAGTAGATTTTGCAAAACATTGAATTGCGAAAAGTTTTTAAAAATAATTAAATTTTACAAAGAATTCTATTCAAATTTTTGAGAATAATTGAATGCCTGTGTGGCATTTTATTAAATTTTTTTGAAAATAATTGAATTCCTAAAAAGCATTTTATCATTTATATTGAATTCTTGCGAACAATTTTACTTGAATTTTTAAAAATAATTGAATTTCCAAGAAGAAATTTATTACTTTTAAAAATAATTGAATTCTTGTGATGAATATTGTTATTTATGAAAATATTGAATTTTTCAAAGAATTTATTATAATATTAAAATGCCTTAAAATAATTTAATTTTCGGGAATAATTTTGTTATTTATCGACATAATTGAATTCTTTCGAAGAATTACACTGAGAAAACTGGATATTAAAAATCTTAATATATAGATATTAAGAGAAGATGCTAATGCATATCAACCAGATGTTATGATTTAATATCTCAGATGTTAAAAAGTATAATCTGTAAATGTAAGGTTATGTTTGAACAAGTCTTTTTCCAATATCTTAAATATTTAATTTGAACATCTAAGATGTTTACATAGTTCACTGTCACAGATATTGACCATTAATATCTAGATAATAAGGCTTAATATCTATTTTTCTCAGTGTATTTATGTAAATAATTAAATTCTTGGAAAGAATTTAATTAAAATCTAAAAGAATAATTGAATTATTTCAAAAAAATTTAATTTAAATTTTATTTAAAATAATTGATGTCTTTCGAACAATTTGAATAAAATATTTGAAAATAATTGAATTCCTGTAAAAAAATATAATATTTTTGTAAATAATTGAATTCCTGTGAAAAAATCTAATATTTTTGTAAATAATTGAATTCCTGTGAAAAAATCTAATATTTATATAAATAATTGAATTCTTCTAAACAATTTTAAAAAAATATTTTTTTAAATAAGGAATTGAAATTAAATTTTTAAGAATAATTACATTTTTTGATCAATTCTTGAAAAATTGTATTAAAAATAATTGAAATCCTGCGATGAATTTTATTATTTATAAAAATAATTGAATTCTTGTTTAGAATTATATCAGAAATTTGTTTAAAAATTAAATTCTCATGAAAAATGTTATTATTAGTGAAAGTAATTGAATTATTGTAAAGAATTGTATAAAATTTTGTTATATAATTGATTTATTCGAAATTTTTTTGAAAATGCTATTGTAAATTAATTGAATCCCTGTGGAAATTTTATTATTTATGAAAATAATTGAATTTTGGATGAATTTTATCACCTTTTTTTTAAATAATTGAATTCTTTTGTAAAATTTTAATAAAAATACTAGATATTGAAAAAAAATTTAATTTCGAATATTTTTTGAAAATAATTGAATCTTTTCAAAGAATTTGATTATAATTTTTAAGAATAGTTTGTTGATTTCTAAAAATTAGCGAATTTAAAGTAGTAAAAATTCTCGAAAAAAACAGAAATAGTAGCTTTTAGTGGCTAAAATTTTAAAAAAGTACCCAAATAGTGGCATAACGTAAAAAAGTAGTAAATAGTACGTTTTAGTAGATGAGTGTGAAGCCTGTAATAGTAACTAATGTTAATTAATTAACTAATTAGTTAATAAATAACTATTTATTGATGATAGTTTTAGTTAAGACTTGAAATAAAAGACGATTAGCTTCAGTATTAGCTTCAGTTTTGTAGCTTAACAATTTACATTATTAACATTATTAGCCCATTTTCATTTCCACTAATATACTTGATACGCAAAATGCTTTACTCAGTGAAATGATGTGAATTGGCAAGCTGAGCAATTTTTAAAGTAAATTTAAATTTAATTATTTTGTATTATACTAATTGATTTGTTAAAAGCAGTGTATGATATTATGTAACGTACTTTGAAATTCAATTCGCGTGAATATATGTACAGAGCGTTGGTATTAGCATACTTTACGCCATCGAGATTTCCGTCATTGTTTCCTATCACGTCCTCGGAGATTATGAATTTTATCATTCCCTTGTTGAATTGATAACAATGTGTGAAAATTTTAATAGAACATTAAACCTCACGTTGCGGTTATATCTGTACAAACTATTAATATAGACTTTGTAAATTAATTCTAGGCATTAAACATTGTGAGCTTAATTATATTTATAATGTATTAATAACAATAAAGTTGAAAGTACTAAATAGCCAAGAAAAAAACTTTATATCAAAGTAAATAAAATTAAAAAATAGTAAATTATCTATTATTACAATCCATAAAGGTTTCGGCCCTTGGTCATGAAGCTCAAAAACAGGTCAAATTTGCCCTAAACCTTGACGTGTAATATAATGGCCCCTAGGGGGATTTTTAACTTGACTTATGACCTTGAAAAACTTTCTGAATCAGCGACGGTAAAGAGATAATTTTATATTATAGGAATGGATTATTATTATTAAGTGAGTAAATTAGAAAAATGAAATCCAAACAGAAACAAATAATATTTTTTATTAGAACATAGTAAATTGTATAATAAATACTAGTGAATTATTAAATAATTGCGTAATAATAAAATGATGGAATTATTAAAATAATAATGTTTATAAAACATTATATAAAGTACCGAATCGGAAATGTTGTGAATGTCAATTAAGTGTCATTTATAAAACAAGAAACTTTAATGAAAAATCTATAAACCTGAAATGGATACGCGTCACAGATTTTACGGATGAACTACCGGATACAAACTGTTTATTCGCGTGAATTAACATCAGCTTCCGGCGAATCATTTATGTTTTAACGCATGTTTTTTACGCTTACGTGTTTTCGAGTTTTTCAGAATTAATAATGCTTCACTTGTTGTTCCTCTGTAACAGCTGTTAGTGAAGTTTAAAACTAATATGTAACACCACATTTTTTTGATATTAAAAAAAACACAATTCTTTAAGAATAAAAGTTTTTTTTATGAATAATAAATTATTCCATTTGAAAAAGTTTTTTTGATATTGACAGAATTTTCAATAATAATTTCCTTTGAAATCGCACTGAAATTCTAACCGATTTTGGAAGAGATTCCAATAGAATTTTTATTTGAATCGGAAGTTTCACCATAAATCAAATTCAGATAAAAAATAATATAGGATTCTTTTTAGAAACTTACTTTGACTTTCATTTTCACTTTCACTATGGAAGATTTTTATTTCCACATTTATTTTCACTTTCACTTTTATCTTCACTTTCTCACTCACTTTGATATATTTATTTTCACTTTTTTTAACATTCATTTTGATAAGAAAGTGATAATAAAAAACTATGAAAGTGAAAATGAAAGGGAATAAAAAATCTTTCAAAGTAAAAGTGAAAGTCATAGTAGAAATTACATTACATAACCGACTCAAAAATTCTTCACGATATACAGATATTTCCGGAACTAAAATTACATTACAAATTATAAAATATATTTGATTATTGCTTAAATCTAGTTTATTTTAATTTTTATGTACCTATTTTATATTTTTCCACTCTATGTATATATATACGTATTATTTATCTCTACTGTTTCTTTTTGTTTCAGGTTTGAGATATAAGAGAAAAAGTCAACAAGTGAATATCTTTCACAAAAGAATAGTGGTAAGTTATGATTGATTTTTCTATGTTCTCGTTTTCTTTTTTATTTTGTTACACACTATACTTATCTATTGTGTTTAGTGTGAATTCGAATTTTTAAGTTGTGCTGAGCAAAAGATGAAAGATTTATATACTGCGTGAAAGAAGGAGAACAAATTGTTCTTGACAGCAAGACACTTTAGTAAATAATGGCTTTGTGAGAGAGGGTTGAAGCATGTTCATGGATAAATTCACCCCCTTTGCTTTCCACAAACTTACTTTTCCCATGTGACTTTCTCTAAACAGGAAAATGGAACTTTTAAAATGAAACTTGAAAATTTTTCACTCAGTTTTTCTTTTTTTTATTTCAAAACTCATTTTTTATATGCATAACTTTATAACAATATAGATATACTAAATAATAAATTATATTATATTATATATATTTATAGTAATTAACTATAATAATCTCCATATTCATTCTTTCATTTTTTCTGTCCCTCGCACTCTGAAGTTGTCTTTTGTGTATACTTTTGTTTTTTGTTAACTTTAGATATAGGGTATATTATATTATTATGTTATAATTATTTTTATTTTATAATTAATTCAAAATTGTAATGACAAATAGAAATCATCAGAATTTTTTTTTCTTCTTTTCATTAAAAGACTAGAATTTTGTTAAATATTATGTTTTGTCAAATTGAAATTATGTAGATTTTCGTTCTTTACTTCTAAACAAAATTAGAAAATTGTTAAACAACTGTGATTAAGAAATATTAAATTTATTTATTTTGCATTATTTTTGTTTATGAATCACAATTTTTTTAACAAAATTAATATTTTGTTTTAGAAAAAGAAGAAAAATATTTGCATAATTCCTATTTTCAAACTTATTTTTGGAACAGGATTTTTTCCACAGGAATTAAGACATTCAAAAGTTTCAAATTCAAACCTTTTTTAAATTAAACGCAACTTATAAAAGTATTTGTTATAAAACATGAAGATATCGATTGCTACGAGTCGAGGACTCGGAGTGATCGATTTCTTCATGTTTTCTAATAATTAAAGATGACCGAGAGATAAAATCATTATTTTATATTATGAGAATATTGTTACTGTAAGTTCATCAAAATTATTTTTATTATTTTAATTCAATTATTATTTTCATAAATTTTAAATTATTTTTTATGAAAATAATTAAATGTTTACATACAATTTTATTAAAAAAATTTTTAAATAATTGAATTCGTTTTGGGAAATTTTATTAAAATCTTAGATATTGAAAATCATTTAAATTAGAAATTTTTTTGAAAATAATTGAAATTAGGACAAGAATTTTTTTTCAAATTTTGAACATAGTTGAATTTTATTTTGTTTGAAATAATTGAATTTCTGCAATTATTTGTAATTTCTCAAAAATTGAATTCTTTTTAGTGTTTTGAACAAAAATTTAAATTAGAAAATATTTAATTTTTATTATTTTTAAAATTGCTAATTTTATTTTTAAAAAAGTCAGAAAAAAGTTAGCCGCGCGCTTTAGCGCGCTAATTGTTGCTAGTGATAATAATAATAACTTTGAAGTTATTCTCGTTTTTTGATTTTATATATAATAAGTAAGATTGTCTTTATCTTTGAATTTAAATTTTTAATTATTATAAAATTTATTACATTTATTATAAAAGGGGACTACAAAAAAGGAATTTCTTTTTGTACAATAGGTATTAAAATTCATTAATATAACAAAACGGAAAATACCATTTTATGTTAATAGACAGGGATTATTATGCATTATTTTATAATCACTTTGAAAAATATATAAGTAAAAGATTTTCAATATTTTTGTGAACAGAAGAAGAAAAATGATGTTAATGCTATTTGGGTAATTTTTTTGTAATTAGAATAATAAAATTAAAACCGAGTTATTTAAAATGATTTTACACGGATAACTTGGGAAACTTTCCCCGGTTCAGTTTACTTGACACAACTTTCTTTCCCAGAGAAGTAGTACCTATTTAAAAAAATGTCTGAGTGTAATTATTTTTTATCGGAGGATTAATTAAGCAAGTATTAAGGGGACAATTTTATAATAACTCGAATTAAATTAGACTTTTTAAAAACTTTTAAATGATATATTGACTTAATTAAAAAAAAACAGCTCTTAAGACTATTTTTTATGTAAAAATACTTTTACATGGTAAAGAAAGGTTTTTGAAGTACATAAGTATTTTGAGCTCTATTTAAACTAAATTGATTAAGATGTTTTAAAAATATCACGCCCGCAGTAATTTTTTTCGATCTGTAATCATCATTAAATATTAAGATAGGCATAGCAACAACAACAATTAATTTTTATTTTTGAAAATATAAGTTATAAAAAAATTGCTTTATTATATCCGTCTTAGTTCATCGAATTTTAAAATAAAAGACGGTGATCTGAAAGAAACTTTAAATCAAGAATAAACTATTAATATAGAAATATATTATACATAAAGTCTCGTCTCAAAAATTTAGATTGAAGTTTATTGAAAATTCTTGACTTTAACAAATTTTCTTCAAAGAATATAATATCGTACAATTTTATTGAAACATATTTTCCATCTGTTACAATATATTATATATGGTAACAATTTCATTTAAGTTTGCACACGGAGAAACTTTTTCTTCTAATATTAAATATATTTGGTTATCTTTATTCTAAAAGTACGTTAGAATGTGAGGATTTTTCGTGCGTTGTGCTAATAATTTCAACATTAATACGAAAATATGATAAGTTCGTTATATATTAAGCAACCTTCGGTGTACAAAAATTACTATCTGCATTAGAAATAGTCTTATTTTTCTTTAGAAAAGAATAAAATGCTAGTTTTTGTTTGTGAAATAATACGGTAATTCTAACCTTTTTTCCACATATAGATAGAATATATAACAGACATTCTAACGTAACATACCAATTTTGGAAGGACTGCGGGCGGACTTAACCGATTTCGCCCGAGCATCACCGAGTCCATCACCTGACGTCGCGAACTAACCCTAATGTTTTCGAAGTTGAAATTCACACGTGTATGAAAGAAAAAAACCTTTTATTAATAAACGTGAATGTCTCCTCATGCCAAATTAAATTCAAGAACTGTTCCTCAATATAACATAATTTTTTTCACGACTTTTACTTATTTACATAATTTGATTAGTAAGTTATTTTAAAAAAATGCTCTCTCTCGAAGGCACATATTTTTCCACTCGTTTAATATATAAGGACGATTCAGCTGTGTACTTCTAACGAATCGTGCGATCTTTCGGTTTCCGTGACCAATCGTCGTGTCTTTACTTGCATGTGCGTGTGTGCGTTAATAATATAGGTTAGGTTAGGTTCTTACGTCGTGTTAAATATATTTACCTACAGTTATAGTGACATTCACTAATGCCATCTACCATCAGATCCAAGTATCACTATCGTCTCTATGAGTATCTATAGACAATTAATTTGTTGTGTTTCTTTTTAATTCATGGCTTTCCCAACTTTGCAAAAATTATTATTTTCTTTCTAAAACAACATACTAATTTTCGTTAGTTTCCTTATGAAGAACTGTAAAATATATACTGAATGAGTGTTTTTGATAGTCTCAATAGCAATTTCTATAACCTATGTCGTTTTTCCCTTGAATCTAACCTAACATACTAAAATGTCTCACCAGTTTTAAGAATTAGTGGTATTAAAAGTTTCTCCGTGCAAGAATTCACTTTTTCTGAAGAAAGTTAAGGAAATTGTTATAAAATTCCAGTTCTTTCGAATTGTTATATTTTCCATGTTTTACATATTGGGTCCGATTTTTTGAAGTTTTTAAAATCTGACACTGGATTCGTAGTCAGAGATCTAAAAAACCTTTGAGTACTAAATTAATAAAATAATATCTAACAAAAAACTGACGGAACAAATTGTTTTAACAGCTGGTTTCTCGAAAACTTGTTTTTGCATGTAAGTATTAATTTCATTAAACGTCTTTGGGACATTTCACAAATGTCCGACATATTGGATCCGACATTTTGAATTTTGCAAGTGTTATATTGAATTCGCATTTAGTCAACTCATGAGCTTAAGATAAGTTATAATTTCTTTTGTTGATTGTGAAAAGATGAAATTTTAAATAAAATTTACCAACGAGATAAAGTTATAAACTAGTGAACAGTAGCTATTTATAAAATTCTTTTGCATTTAAATACGTCTCGAGTATCTCTTTTTGAAATTCCGATTATAATGAATTCCCATGAGAAACAAGTGCACATTGGACCTCATTATTCCAATTCTCTCTCTATGTATATATATATATATATATATATATATATATATATATATATATATGTACCAATTATGTTTCTGTAGTGAAAAACTGAGGAGAAGCAAGTTAGACAATAATTATGTTTCGTTGATTCGCAGTCGCTTCTCGACATTTTCTTTCGTCTTGGGAGTTATTTCATTTGCATGCACATCCGCGACGCTATGTGACGAAAACGTTCATTAAATTGAGTGCCTGTCCATTCAAATACATTTAGATCAGCGACAACAGCAAGAATCCTTTTCTTCCTCTTCTTCCTTCAGTGGCAAATTATTTAAAGTGCGATAAGGAGGCAAGATAAGCACTAGAAAAAGGAAACTTATTTATTTCCTTCTCCAGACGAAATTCACTTGAAATGGAGCCGAAACAAAACTCGTTACGGTCCATCGAGACACTGAGAAGTGAAAAGACTTTATACGCTTAACTTTAAACTATTAAAGTCAGCTGGAAAATTCTATTTAGTTAGAGTTGCTATATACTGTGAAGTTAGATTACCTTGTGTTTGCGAACTGTCGCCACTGACATTATCTATAAAAAATCTTCCTTATTTTAAAGTGAATTTTCAGCTTCTTTTTCTTCATTTTCTCTTTACTATGAAAAAAACATTTTTTTTCCACTCTATTACTTCTTTTATTAGACTTAAGCTTTTACTGAAAAATAAAAATTTACTTCATTTTTAGATGCATTATTTTC